GAAAATCTATAGGCTACAGCCTTACTTTTGAGATGCTACAGGTCATGGTTCTACTAAACGAGACTGAGACAGCTCTACTTCTGGTGCTGATTCATTAACTTCTACTCTCTGGTTCCTTAACCTCTCAGCATCTCACATCTCTTTAGTCAGGGAAATGTTACAAAGCCTTTCAGCTCTACCAATACATTCCCAAAAACAACTCATTCTGCTAAGAAGCCTCAGCCTGAAGATTCCCTACAGTCACTCCATGCATCAGTAAACCTATCTCTGCCAATAAATTCCTAAAAATATCCAACTCATTCAGAAAGGCCCCTACCATCAGGCACTCACTCAGTGCTTCGCTCCATGGGCTAGACAGCATACCATCTTATGCTGGTCTCTGATTCTGCTGTTTCTTTGCCACTCTTTGTCACTTTGTGCATTGTCTCCAACAATACCTCCCTTTGTTCCTTCTTAGCCCTCACTGTAATTGCCTTTGAAGTTCATACTTTTAAGCCTCTTAAAAGCAGCCCCTACTCATTCATTACTTAACTGCCAAAACACTGAGATACACAGACCACACAAGATGACATACATTTTTTTTAAAAACTGTTCAATCCATGAGAGACATTATGTGATATGTTTAAGTGTGTATTTATTCTCAGTGGGGGAGTACACTGTTAGAACAAATTCTCTGGGAAGAAGCAAAAGTACAAAGTAAACTTTATTTTTTTTTCTTTTTTTTTTTTCAAAGTAAACTTTATGTGTGAACATGTAAAACTTGTCTGTAGTAAATGAAAATGACCCCTTGTCAATAAAAAAAAAGTCACCACTAATTTGTTGCTGTTGTGTGCTGTCAAGTTGGAACCGACCCATTGCTGATCCTTCAGCAGGTTTTCAGAGGCAATTAATCACACAGGAGGAGACTGCCCATCCTTCTCCTATGGAGTAGCTAGTGGATTCAATCTGTGTGCCTTTTGGATTGCAGCACACCCAGCCTCTTGCTACTAGGCCACCAGTATACGCTTTAAAAAAAAAGTAGAAAAACATTCCATAGTAAGACTTAAGACTCAGTAAGTCTCTAAGAAAACTAAGAGGTAACTCATATCATCATTCATTCACCTAGAAATTCCTTTAGTTAATGATTTATCATTGAAAGACAGATATGGAGCACTTTCTTTGGAAGTCAGACTCTTGGTGATTCGATGTGTCAATTATAATTTATCATCTAGATCTGTAAATCTTCTTAGTCTGTTGAAAAAAATTAGTGCTACTCAAGTCACACAACTGCACTTTTCCCCTAATTGTTATTAGGACAATCATCTTCTAACACTTGTATGATTTGTAGTGTTTGAAACAAGGGATCTGGGTGGAGTTTTCTTCCCTTTATAATTATCTCCTTTTAAAAGTCATCTTGTGGGAGAAGGATGGGCAATCTCCTATCATGTGATTAACTGCCTTTGAAAATCCACTGGAAAGTCAGCTACGGGTCAGTTCTGACTCTATGGTAAACAACAACAAAAGCCATCTGTTTAAAATACCTAAGACTTACGTATGCTGTTTTTGTTGTTGTGCACCATCAAGTTGGAACAAACCAATTGCTGACTCTCCAGCAGGTTTTCAGAGGCAGATAATCACACAGGAGGAAGCTGCTGGATCTTCTACTGCGGAGCAGCTGATAGATTTGAACCACATGTCTTATGGATTGCAGTGCAGTTCCTTACCACTAGGCTACCAGAGCTCCCTAAGAATGAGTATAGATTCTAAAGTACACTCTTAAGGTCTTGCCTTCCAAGATCATTTGTCAAAAAACACTTGCATGTTGAGTGCCAGGTGATGCAGCTCCTTAAGCAGGTTTGTGGTTTCTATGAAAACTGTGCTCTTTGTATATAGAGCTCAGCATCAAAGTGTCTCTGAAACTCTGTCTTATTTACCAGCTAGCAGTGTACTAACTTACGCCGGTCTGCAATGCACAAGGAAGTTTACATCCTATTATGTGTCATCTTTTTCTCAATAGTGTTATGAATACAGCTCACTGAGATGAAGGCTGTAACAAGCTGTTTCTTCACAAGGGAAGAGTTGAGAGAGTGTGAACAGCTCATTGTGACTTAATGGAGGTGTCACATTCTAATGGAGGTCAGGTTCAAAATTCTGCCCTAGCAACACACAGTGCCTGAATTATTTTATCCTCAAGGAGATAAAGCAGCAAAAGTCATTCCCACCTTCTGCTTTCCTCTCAGAGTAACCAGGTTGTGGCTTTGAAATAAATGTATTAAAAGGTGTCTAGTTAGTTACCAAATACTGCTAGGTTTCAAAATCTAAAATATGAATAATCTGCACTCATGTATTTTTAAATTCTTATCATGTGTGGAGAGAAAAAGAATACTATTAAAAGTAAACTAACCATCCATTAGTGTCTACTCACAAAACACACTAATTTAAAGAAGAATAAAAAAGATGAGCTGGCTACAATTATAGATCAGAACATACACTGTCATGTGGCTCAGGTATTTCTAGTAGTCATTGCAAATATCTCATAAACCTTGGTTTTAGAGGACGTTGGTAAGAAAAAGCTAGTTAGTGACAAAGTGTTACTGAAAGTAGGATATAATTCTCATTCACTGATTTTTAGATAGGAGGCATACAATGCAATGAAAATTGTGAATGCTGCTAGGAGAGGCTACATTTATCACATATGAAAACTATCTTTGATAAAGAGCCTTAAATTATAGGAAGGACTGGATGCTGCAAAATATAAGAATAAAAGAGCTATTTTAGTATAGGGGGTTTTTTAGGAGTAGAGGGAGAAGTACAGCATTAAAAAGCGCTAAACTCATATTTGGGATGACAGATACTATACAGAATAAATATGTTTTCTGTCTGAATCTAAAACCTACTCCTCGAAGACAACTACTTTTCAAGAAAGAATGTTACCATAAAAAAATAGGCATTAAAATTTTAAAAAGATATTTGCTCAAACTACAAAAAGAAAGCTTTTACCAGAAATTATAATCGCCCAAGTCCTAGTTTCATCTTTTCTCCCATCCAAGTACTAACCAGGCCCGACCCTGCTTAGCTTCCGAGATCAGACGAGATCGGGCGCGTTCAGGGTGGTATGGCCGTAGACTAGTTTCATCTTTTCTACACTAAGAATACTGGCAACAGAAAATAATTCAGAGTTTTAACTAAAATAAATGTCTAGCAGACAATTTATATTATAATAAACCATTAACCAAAAAAGTGGCTTCTTTTCCCACAACAGTAGCATATTTATTGTGCTGAATCCGGTAGCAGGGAATGGATAGTTTCTGGGGAACCAGTACAGAATGTTTACAAAAGCTGACAATCTTTAGTTATTATACACTGAGCAGCAAAAAAACAAGGTGTTGGATCCTTTTAGAAAATCCTACTGTATGTATTGCAAACTTTCTATAATTCTCAAGGCTGCATGCCTTGGGGAAAAGTTGTACAATTCTGATGCTCAATAAATATTTTATAGTTTACAAAATATTTTAAGTTGTCTGCACAAAGAGCATATATTCTGCACATGCAGGTTTGACAGACTGTCAGAGAAACTTAGAAATAGTCATGCTTTTCGGTGACATTTTCTTTTTTTAAAATGATCCCTGTGCAACATCCCTAACAAATTAACCTATATAGTAAAACACAGTAAAAACTTCTTCTCTAGTGAATTTCTATCTGTTCTCTTATATTACATGAAACACTTCATTTGCAAATAGCAAATTTAATTTTATAATCTGACTACTCCCACTTTTGTTCATTTTGTGGTTTAAAAACTAACACCTTATAAACGTCAAGCACTGAATTTCATGATCTTTAGCACCAAGGAGTCAAGAATATTGCACCAATATGGGTTTATACTTCATATCTTCTAGTTAATAAATAATATCTCGTAACTTAGTCACAAGGAAAATATCACTCCAAAACTAAACACACTGGAAACGAAGGAAAGCTTTACAGAAAAGTTATTTTTGAAAATAAAAAATAACCTGATTCAAGTTATGCTGATTAAAATTTACATTATAGGACTCCTTGATTTTTTTAATTAAAATTTATTTCATTTTAAATGTTCTTTCCAACAGAAGAGGTAGGTATATTTCCACATATGAAAAATTTGTGTAACAGACACAAATCAAATAAGGAAAAGCCTGATAAAAATCAACATACTCTTCTAATAGCACATAAATATAATTATCTTAAGATGTTACCAATGAAGACACGAGTTGTTTCATGTTCCCATCAGACCTTAATCATACTTTTCATATGGTATTTCTGAAAGTAATAGTAGTATCCAAAAGCTACTTTTTCATCATGGACATTGTTTCCCACAGTGATTTGTGTCTCAAGTCATCGTGACTTCTGAGTCAACAGATAGGATTTTACTGTAATTCTTTCTCATTTTCACCAATACCATCATCATGAAACCTCTAAGAGTCTACAGAGTTCAGCAGATTTTTAAAATTTAATTACAATCAATAAGGTGTACTCATACAAGAGGTGGAGAGAGTCAACCATTTTGGTCAGCAAATGGATTCAAATGTGCAAATTTTAAAATATTTGCAATTTTGAGCTTCAAACCATAAAATATAACTGATTTCAATCAACAGTTAGCTTGTAACACAACCGAAAAAATTCTCATAGACTGTTTCTGTGATTATCTAAAATTCAAGCTGAAGATTAGATGTATACAGATACATGGAAAGTCCCATTCATTATACAAACGGATGTGAGCAGAGGGATTGTGTCCAAAGTCACATGATGATTGCTTTGGTCTGGACAACATCAAGGCTAATAAAAAAATGTTTAAAATAAAAACTTCATAAATAAAACATCTGGGTACTGTATTTAACACTCTACTCATTCTAAAAGTACTAGTACATAGAACACATTTGCCTTTTCTTCTCCCCACCCCTGAACCCTCATTTGTTTCTGTTTTCCCTGAAATTTTGTATCAAATGGGAGTTTCCTCACTGTCAATAACAGTTAAGGCCCAGTGTAATTTACTCTCCTTTTGCTTTTCCATTTTTCTGCTTTTTTCCATTTTCTAGAACTAGCTGTTTTTCTGATTTGTTCACACCATTTGCAGAAACACCATTCACAGCTGTTTTTCCAGTTTTTGATTTCTTAGGCACGTTGTATGTCCGCACATAGAAGTTAAGAAAGAGGAATATGAAGCTGATGGCGTAGACAATCAGGGCCCAGTGCATCCATTTGGGGAATGGGCAGTCAGTCCAAAGAGACAACGCTGTGTGTCCAATGGTCACGTGGAACTGAACCTAAAATACAAACACAGCACAGGATATGTTTGATCTGAGCAGTATACCTTTCATAACCAAATTTCCTATTCAGCTATCCAACCTAAATCTTACTTCACTGCTCCAAGCTTAATTGTTCTCTGGCTCCCACAGCTGGCTGCTTCTCTTTCAGATCACAGTTCTAATGCCAGCTCCCACTGGCTTACTGACCACTTTAAATTTCATGCAATGGGACTCTTTCTCTATCAAATTAACCAAAGCCCTTTCTTGCCTATATAATTATTATGGATGTCTGAAATTGCCATTTAGTATTTGTTTACTGTCCATCTTCCCAGTAGAATAGAATTCCAAAGGGCAGAACTAGATCCAGTGTCTGGACTGGGTCTTTGTGGAAAAATGTTACATGAGAGAGGATGTCAATGACTAACATGAATAAAAGGGTAGAGATTTGATTCTACGGGAGGTGTCCCTGAAGGAAGGCCTGGTGACACACTCCTGAAAAATCAGCCATTGAAAACTCCTGGGAACAGAGTTGTACTTGGAGTCTCCCAAGATGTGAACTGACTAGATGGCCACTGATAGGTTTACCCTTCACAAAATTAACCTCCTATTTTTAAGACATTCTGAGGATGCTATTAAAATGCAAAAACTCACTGCCACTTAGTCAAAACCAACTCATACCTGTCATCCAGCAGACTTCCATAGACTGTAAAACTGCACAGAAGGAGGCTGTCCATCTTTCTCCCAAAAAGCCGATGGTGGACTCAAATCACCAGGGAGGCACCACCTTTTGGTCAACAGTTTTGACACCCCATCAAGTGCACTACCAGAGCTCCCTTAAAGACAGCAGTGTTGTTGCTGACTACCACTGAGTCGGAACCAACCCATAGCTGACCCTCCAGCAGGTTTTCAAAGGCAGTTAATTGCACACGAGGAGACTGCACATAATTCTCCAGGGGAGCGGCCTCTTGATAAATTTAGTCCTCAACACTTGTGTGTCTTTCATCCTCTCTCTGGGTTCATAGTGTTTCTGGAGGCAAGCTAATACGGGAGTGGATGCCACTCCTGCTTCCAAGCTTGTTTTAATCGGGGAGATCCACCCAACACTGTCTGCCATGGGTAACCAATCATTAACGCATTTGACACATCAGTGTCACGTTGTTCAGCCTCACAGCTACCACAAGTTACCACTGTATAGCAAGTGGACACACCAGGGCTATATAACCTAGAGGAATGTTTGAACAAAAACAATTAAAAAACTAGCCCAAGGGCCATAGGCCAGAGGGCCCTTCAGTACCTTAGCGTTCCAGCACGCCCAAATGCTGGCAAACTCTGGGCCAGAGACCTTCAGTCTGCTCTGCCAACCCCCACGTGGGGCAAAAAGAACATCACAAGCGCCCAGAGCCCTCCATATCTGCCGCTCCTAAATTTACTCCATATTAGTCAGAGATTTTTATTAAACAATGTTTTTAAATCTCCAAGGCAAGATCCAGATTTTAAGAGCTTTTGGTTTCACAATGATTCTTAGAACAGGCATCATTGGAAAAGGGTGTATAAATGGGCGTGACACAGAACAGGGTCCCACAAAAAGAGCCAGGCAAGCACTATAGCCCATCTCAAAAATATAATACAAATACTTCATATAATCTCTGTGACATTTCTTCATTTTTCAGGACCAGTAACTAATTAGCATAGAAAATAAAGTATACAAACTATGTAAACAGCTTGCACAAAAAGCCTAAAGAAATTTCCAGTAGCACATTAGCAATAAATGAATCCTTCACACCCAGCATTCCACAAAAGTTGTGTTTCCTGTTTAGTTGGCTGGCTGTTTGGCAACTTAAAACAAAAGATGGATAATATTTCCAAATGGGATTCCACTGATTAAACTAGGCACGTGTTATGATTAAAGCAAATTAAAATAAATTCCAAGGCTTGAAGAATAGTTAGTTAGTTTTAGATTCTCAGTTTGATTAGAGGCCAGTCCCTACTTCTGAATGTTGCACTGACACACCCTGATGCTGCAAGAAATCCTCTTCCAAGTTCTGCTGAAAACTGTCTGATCTAAAGACTGTTGCTGTTCAATGCTATTGAGTCGAGCACGACTCCCATCGACTCTATGAACCAAAGACCTAATGCCTTTCCATAACTATTGTTTCTCCAAATCCATGGAGTTTCCAGAGGCATGTGGTTGAGGAAGTGGATGCCACTCCTGCTTCCAAACCTGTTTTACAACTTGGAACACCACCAAACACTGTCCATATTGGGAAACCATTCTGGTATTTGATACCCCAATGGCACAAGGTTCAGCATCACAGAAAATCCAGATTCCTTCACACAGACATTGACAAAGAGTGATGTACAAAGTGGAAGAATGTTCCTCCAGATAGAAAAACACTAGTCTCATTTAGCAGTGGTTAAGGGTCATCAAATCGAATATGACTTATAGCGACCCTTGCACAAAAGACCTGAACTCTGTTCTATAACATCATTTCTGTATGTTAATAGAGTTTCCAGAGGCATCTAGTTTAGGGAGTGGATGTCATTCCTGCTTCCCAACCTGGATCAATCTGGAAACTCCTCCAAAAATTGTGCATGATGGGTAACCATTATGGTATTTGACATGCCTATGGCACAGTGTTTAGCATCACAGCAATTCCAAGTTGTTCAGTACAGCAAATGGACAAAAGATTGTTGTATCACTTAGAGGATGTTCATTATAAAATTAATAAATTTGGCCCGAGGGCTGCACCTGACTCTGTCCTCCAAGGCCTGGATTGTACCAAACTAAGATGTATTTTCTGGTTATTTCCCTCCTTTCAAGCCACCCCTTTCTTGGTTGTGTGCTTTCTTTTCAACTCTGATATAAAAATAAGATATAGGTTCTATTAACAAGGACTGAAAAAAACTGGAAAAGAAAGCATAAGTAAATACAAGATGAAGCAAGTATAAATGAAGAAAGGCAACAATAAAATTTTAAGCAAGTAAAACATCTGAGGAAAGAAGGTAATTTTTCTAGCAATTTATGAGCCTTCGGACTCAGTAGTGTACTGATTTAATAATCTATTTCATAGGTATTTTTAAAATATATATTCCTCTTTAAAATGATAAGTACCATACGAAATCTATAAATTGGGGGGAAAAAATGAAATGTCAACTATCCACCAGGTCTATAAGCAGGGAAGCTATGGTCAAGCAATTTCACCTGCTAAGTCTAGAGAAAGGTAATTGTATAAAATAAATTATGTAGAAAGTCAGTATTTTCCAGTTAATAAAACAAAAATATGTTCCAATTAATAAAAAAAAATTATTTCCACTGTTTCAACAGAAGAAACTCTATCAAGACTTTAACTTACCAGCTGCAACATGGTCAGGTATCGTTTCCACCAAAGATACTTCTGAATCCATGGGCCAAACGCAGTTAAGCCATAGTAAGAGTACATAATCACATGGATGAAGGAATTCATCTGGGCTCCAAAAAATGCTTTTGAGACACGAGAATTGAAAAATTCAGAAACGTTCACAAAGTCAGAAACTTTTTTAATCTAAATGAATCCTATTAATAACATTTAAAACAACAAACAAAATCTTGAATATAGATGGGCAATAAAAGATTTGTTACTAGTGGGAAAGTCTTCCCCTCAGATCAAGATAGGCATTTTAAAACTTTTTATTTGGGTTTTTATACTATAAATAAAAGTGTGTGTTGTTCAAGTAGAAAGAGCCTTCAATGTGGCAAGTTTCAAGTTTTCAAATGATGCACTACAGCAAAATAAAGCAAGCCGTAATCAAAGAGTCATTCAACAAAAGTGGGTGAGATAAACACTCTTAACAGTGGGCTTGACTATATCAGAAATCATGATGATGGCTGCTCAGGATACAGCAAGGCTCACATATCTGTCATTCACAGGCTTGTTATGTCATAGTTCAGGGAGCTCTGGTGGCCTAGTGGTAAGGAGCTATGCTGCAAACCCAAAGATATATAGGGTTCAAATCTGCTCTATAAAAGAAAGAAAGGCAATCTCCTGTGTAATTTACTGTCTCTGAAAACCCACTGGAGGGTCAGCCATGAGTCGGTTCTGACTTTAACAAATAACACGATAGTTGACTGACTGAGATCTATTATTCATGTAGTCTTCTTGATGGCATCTAACAGCAGCAACATTCTTGGGAGGAGAAAAAGCCCCAGTTAATAAAATTTTAAATAAATATCAATGTTCCTTTATTGTTTTTCTTATTGTTGTTAAATGAATTCTGACTCATAGTGACCCGGCAGGATACAGCAAGACTGCCCTACAGGGTTTCCAAGGCTGTAAATCTTTATGGAAGCAGACTGTTTAATCTCTCTGTCAAGGAGTGACTAAGGGGTTTATATTATTGACCTTTCTGCTAGCAGTCCAATGCTTAACACTCTCCTCCACCAGGGCTCCTCAGCTGTCATTAGGGGCAAATCTGTAGGCTCTTCTTCCTATGGGCCCTATGTACAACAAGATGAAACACCTCTCAGTCCTACACTACCCTCACAAACACTGCTGTGTGTGAGCCCACTGTTGGAGCCACTGTATCAATCTGTAAAGAGTGCTTCACTAAAGGCATATAACCTTGGAAGCCTTAAAAAGCAAGAGTCCTGCTCTGCCCACAGGATTGCTATGAGCAAGAATCAACTGGATGGCAGTGCACTGGGTTTGTGTTAAAGACTGGACAACTTATCTAGTATAAATTTACACAGGTCAGTCAGTTTAAATGACATCCTTTCTTTTCAGCATAAAAAGTACATCAAAGAAGATAAGTCATAAAAAGAAATCTTGTCATAATGTGATTTATGAGATTGTTTCAGATTTACTTCTTTCAAAATTAGTTTTACTTTCATTGTATTGTTTTTCATCGAGACTATAATTCTTTTTAAGTATGAATTCCTAAGTAGAAAACTGCCATAATATGACTATGGAAGAACAAGGTGAAATGCATTATAATGACCTGTACCCTGGAGCCCATCAGAGTAATGATTTGTGTCCAGCTCACCAATGCGAATCATTCTCAAGTTAAAAAAAATCTTCAAAGACTGAGGGACAGATTATGGGCAACCTTTACCCACGCATTTAACGGCCTCTGAAAACCCACCAGGGGCTCAGCTATGGGCCGGCTTCAACTTAATAGTACACAACAACATAACATTATGTAACAGAGCTGTATGAATTCCCTTTTGAGTAAGAAATAGCAGGATTGTCTTAGGCCTAATGTAGAGTGGACGTGGGCTCTGGGCTTGGACTGAAAATGCAACATTCAGGACAAAGGGCAGCTCTAGCTTAGTGCCCTTTGGGTCAGAACTGCTCCACATTAAAATAGAGCTTTGCCTATTTTCACTTGGCTAATGCTCATCTCTGGGGCAAATCTTTAAATGTTGAATGAGGCTAAAAGAAAAAAGCTAAAATTTTAATTTCTTCAAATTAAAAAAAAGAAAGAAAAAGAAATGAACAAAGAACAGAGAACAGTTAACACATTGCCACACACTTTTGTGCTTAGAAACACTTTTTTCCCCCAGATGTATTACTGTCATTTGCGGCAATGTGTTAACCATAAAATACGTTCAGAGAGAAACCAAGCCAAATCCCAGGCTCCCTTGTCTTCCCACCCAATACACTTACCACGTATTTTCATATATAAAAACAAGTTCTGAAAATGCTCACCTTGTCCCCCTGCCACCCACTTAATTCCAATCCACCACAATGTAAACATTGTACAATGATGATACACGTGAAGGAAAGAGACTTGGTTGTTTTTCTTCCTTAGGATAAAAAATACTGTGTCTAAATATTCAACTCCTTTAGAAACAAAGTACCACCACAGAGCAGCAGCTATCTGTGAAAAGACAGGAAAGGCAGGTTATAAATACCAGGCTGATGTTCTCGTACCCACGGTGTGGGTACCCACTCGTACCCACTATACGTGAGTATGAAATTATCTTCACTGCACAAAATGTACACAGCATTGGATGCTGTCATTTTTGGCTAAGGCAGTCTGAAAACTCAAGCATCTACCTGCAGGGAAGAAGTGGGAGGGAAAAGGAGCCGTATCTACAAGTGCCAACAATGCAGAAAAAATTCTCCATCTGTTAAATAACTGGAAGTCTCACAGTTTCAAACTACTGAAGGTAGATCTATAAATACATTCACATTGCTAAGATTTTCAGTTTGGTAGAAAAATGGAGACATTTATTTTGTAAAAATGGTTGTTAGTGCCCAGTCTACATTATTCCTGAGATACACTCATCAGCTGTCACTGTCTGCATTTTCTTGTGCTCAAGTATGCTGCAACCTAAGCAGTTGTGGTAGACTGCAAAATCTTGAAAATTATAGACAAAAAAATAAATAAAATGACAAATATTTCCTATTCTGAGGTCATAAATATAATCCAGCTTACACGCATACATCTTTTTTTCCCTGGGCTCTAATTAAGACACCAGATGGTACAGAAAGATTACATTACATTCTGAGATTAGTGATCCAGTGAGAGGTGACCTCTGCACAGGTTTTAAAATATTGTTCAAGGATCCTACTGTAAGAGTAACCTAAACTTAAGTTTTTATATGAAAAGTTTTCTATGATTAACTTCCCATGCACAAACAAGTAAAAAAAGAGGTGAATAACTGAATATCTGATTATAACATCTTTGTGTGAGGGGCTTGACACAGATTCATTCAAAGGCAAGTGAGATTTGTTACGTGGTTCAGAGCTGAAAGATCCCTTTCCTATTTTCTATATACATCTTGGATATTATAATTTTTGTTTTTCTTTGCTTTCTTTTTTGGTTTTGAAAAACAAAATTGCAATTTTAAAATGTGAGCAAAGGAAAAAAATACTATTTTATTTACATGTGGAATTATTCACTATACTTATATGGAAAATAACAGAAAATGGTAAAACTGGTTGACAACAGATATAAAATATTTAACTATACTACAACTTTAAACTATAATAATTTTAGCACAGTAAATGTTATGTAAGTTAACAAATTATGCCTTAGAATATTTTTCCTTAGTTTATGAACTGCATTAGCTGTATTAGTATTGACCACATCAAAATGACAAGTGATGTGTTTTGGCCACATAGCAGATAAATATAACAACAATTCTCTGAGCAAGATATTCATTCTTATGCATCTAGTATTTAACTACTAGTGTTATGAAAAACTAAATTTCTATGTTGAAACATAATAATGCATGATAATATCATATGATTACTATAATTCTTATAAAATGAGCCATTCTGAAATTTTTAAAACACTGGTTATGGGGAGGGAGAAGGAAGGGGAGAGAAAATGTACAACAATGAATAAATAAAATTACTGCATCTAAATTTTAACAAAATATACTCCATATATTTTGGTAAATTTTATCTTTTACTTTCAAGTGACCTATTAAAATGAAAACGTGGATAAAAAAGAATTCTAGAACTATTCATTATTGCTCCAACATAAAAATTGAAAAAGGATAAAATTCTGATCTGCTATGCAATCACTGTTTTACTTTAAGTATTTGTCTGGTTAATTTTCATTCAACAAAACTGAACATTTTGGTTTGCTAGGAGATTTTGATAGAGGAAGTCTTGAGGGGGGTATTATGCAAATTATAGGGCAAATAGTACCCATTATTAATAGTTGCTAATTGATTTTGATAGAAACCTAAAACAAAACAGAAATTCTGTATCTTTCCACCGAACTACTGTATTATTTTTAAAAGATTCTTTCAAATAATCAACCATATACTTACTCTTACATTACCAAATGAAAGATGAAAAATTATACTAAAGATATAAAAATAGATTTTTCAATTGTTATTGTTGTTGCTGACTGCTAACAAGTTGAGCATGACTCATAGTGACCCTATGAACAAAATACCTGAATCCTTTCTATAACCATCATCGTTTCTCTAAGTTCCCAGAGGTTCCATAGGCATGTGGTTTAGGAAGAGGATGCCACTCTTGCTTTCAAACATGTTTTAATCTGCAAACTCCACCAAACACTGTCCCCCATGAGTAACATTATAGCATCTGAGACCCCAATGACACAGGGTTCAGCATCACAGAAACCCGAGGTTATCTCACAGCAAAATACATATTCTTAAAGTAAAGCATAGTTTTACTGACTCTGAACATAATTTCACATTTATCATAGACTGAGGTTTTTAAGATTCAAGCTACTTTATCTGATTTTTAACCTAACAACCCTGAATTTTTTGTTTCTTTAAAAGTCTGGGTTTTTTTAAGATTCATATTGTGTTTCATATTATTATTCCCATACATTGTGTCTTATAAAATTAATCACCACTTATTAAAGCTACTTCACAAGTATTTTTAAAATACTTACCCTGACTTCATGAACATTATCAGAATAATCCACACTCTGGCAAACATAGCTATATCCTGCATTATATGATCCCATGAATAACTGCAGTAAAAAACCAAAGGAATATTTAAAGCTTTAGTACATCCAGCATTAAAAATGATAATGTGTAACATTTCAAAGTATTTTAAAATCAGTATCTTCATTTTAAAAATTCAAATGCACTAAACAATAAAACTTCTAATATTTTAATATAGTTTACTCAAACTCATTCTCGTTGAGTCAGAACCAAGTAATAGAGGATCCTGCACTGGGTTACTGAGGCTATAAATAACATGGGAAGAGACTGTGCACCTTTTGCCCATGAACTCACTAATGGTTCTGAACTGACAAGAGAGCTATGGCCTCTGATACAACAATGCAACTCCCTAAGGATTGTAAGGACTGTGCCACTAGACATTCCCAACATCATTTAGTACATAGAGATTTCCAAAAGCTACTGTATCAATTTTATAACTGAAATATAAAAGAAAATTCACATGTAAGTTAGTTTTATAGAGATATAAACTTTACTTCCTAATACTGGAAGTAATTTTTATTATCATGACTTACATCTAAGAATTATTCTGTGTTTAAGTGGGTTTCTACTCTTGATCCAGAGTGACTAATACATTGGGAAAAAGGATCCAAATAAACAAAAGGTTTTAAGAAACTGATATTCTTTGAAACCAAGCTGTCAATTAAAGGATTTTTAAAAGCAAGTTGTGCTACTGTTTATGTCCCTAGCATTGTTTGTTCTGTGCTCTGGTATCATAAAAACAAACAAAAATGGTAAACTCTTGGTTGTTCTTTTAAACTATAGTTATACAGGCTTCTAGCTTTCCTTCCAAAATATAATGAATAATTTGCTGGAGCCCAAGAAGTATATAAGTAGGCAGCGTATGAAACAGACCTGAATACCTTATCTCATTCTAAGTTTCAACTGAAAATGACATTATGTTACACTTTGTTTATATTTTACACACTTTTACATTTTTTACAATTTTCTTAACATTATTATTTTATATCACCTTATTCTGAACAATGATCAAACCTGAAAGTGCCAACACAGGTAGCTTCTGTTGTTTGTTGAATGTTTAATATGTGGCAAACACAACGCAAAAGGTCTCTCAGTTATTATGATAAAAACCCTAGAAGGCAGAGACTATCCTCATTTTACAGGAGGAAAAAACTAGTACCAGAAAAGTTTTAAAATGTCTAATGACAGAAGAGGTAGCTCTGGTGGCACAGTGATAAGGAACTATGCTGCCTATCCAAAGGCATACAGTTTGAATCCACCAGCTGCTGCTACCTGTGAGAAAGAAGTGCCTCCTGTGTGACTAACTGCCTCTCAAATCTACTGGAGGGTCAGCTATGAGTCAATTCTGACTTAACAGGACATAACAACATAAACACAAGAGCTAATAAAGGTTTAAAATTTTATTTTAAACCACTGGCTTTTATGTTATACTTGTATGAATGTATTCTCTTATTTTGTGTATACTTTGATGGTATGCTGGTTAAATTAAACCACCCAGATGCTAATAAAATGGTCAGTGGTTCAAAACCACCAGCAGTTCTGTAGGAAAAAAGATGTGGCAATCCTCTTTTACCTATAAAGATTTACAGCGTTAGAAATCTCCTGAGGCCATGCCTCTCTCTCTCTCTCCTATGAGGATCTTACTCTATCCTGCTCTACACTAGGAGTCAAAATAAACTCAATGACAATTTATATAGATAAAATAAATTCATGTATATTTACAAATATATTGTTATTGTTAAGTACCATTGAGTTGGAAATGATCCATAGCTGACCCTCCATCAGATTTTAAGAGTCAGGGAGCAAATCACACAGGAAATTGTCTATCTTTCTTCCATGGAGCATCTGCTGGATTCAAACTTCTGGATTTCAAGTTGGCTGTGCAGCTCCTTACCACTAGGCCACCAAAGCTTCCTTACCAATATATAAGCAAAAGGCCACTAGTTGCTCGGTGGGAGAAGGATGTACAATCTCCTCTTGTGTGATGGGTCAGTTCCCATATATACAACAACAACAACAACAACACACAGGCATATATATGTGTATGTGTGTGTGTATATATGTGTATATATCTGTATGTACGTATATTGTTGTTAGCTGCTGTCGAATCAAATGACTCATAGCGACCCTATGAACAAAATACCTGAACTCTGTTCTGTCCTGTGCCATCCTCACATTTCCTGACACACAAGAGCCCATTGTGGCAGTCACTATGTCAATTCACTTGGTTGAGGGTCTTCCTCTCCTTCACTAACCCTTCACTCTTCCAAGAATCATGTTCCTCTTCAAGGAATTGCCCCTCCTAGCAACATGCCCAAAGTATGTGAGGTGAAGCTTCATTATTCTTGCCTCCAAAGAGCACTCTGGCTGCATCCTCCCCAAGACATATTTGTTGGTTCTCTAGGACATCCATGGGATACACAGTGCTCTTCTCCAGTATCACAGCTCAAAAATGTCAATTATTTTTCTTTCATCCTTATTCATTGTCCAGCTCTCAGATGCACATCAAGTGATCAGAAAAACTATGCCTGAATCAGATGCACCTTAGTCCTCAAACTGACATCACTACTCAATAATTTGAGAGGTCCCTAACTGCAGATATTCCCAGTGCAATGTGTCTCCTTATTTCCTGACTGCTGGCTCCAAGGGTGTTAACTGTGGATCCAAGCAAGATGAAGCTGTTGACAGTTTCAGTCTCCTCTCCATCCATCATGATGTGGCCCATCAGTTCCGTGGGAAGAATCTGTTTTCTTGGCATTGAGTTGCAATCCATACTGAAGGCTGCATTCCTTGATCTAATGCAACAAGTGTTTGAAGTCCTCCTCACCTACAGCAAGTAAAGCTGTGTTATCTGCATAACACAGGTTACTGCTGACGCCAACTTCCTCTGCATAGGGTTCAGCTTCTAGGATAATTTGCTAAACATACAGACTAAATATTATGGAGAAAAAAACCTCGACACACTCCCTTCTCAATATTTTTGTTAACGTCTTAATTTTTTTCTCTTTTTAAAATTATTTTTAAAATGCAACATACATATACATATTTTACAGCATATTCTTTGCGTTTATTTTTTCCCCACTCACTGTTGCACATTTTCCTCCCTGACCAGCCCCCCCCCAGTAATTTTTCTCTTTGAAAAGAAAAAATTATTTCATTGTTATACAATACCCCCCAAGTCCACAGTCCAACTTACTATGCATTTCCTTTTCTGTAATCTTGTCATGAAAATAATACCTAATCCTATATTCCTTTTAAACAGTTCTCTCCCCCATCTGTTTCAATGCAGTAGATATTATTTATCCCGTCTTTTCCTAGGTTCCCCCCAACCTTGATGTCAGTCTCATATTACAAGAGTGGTAGTATGCAGTATTTGTCCTTTTGTGACTGAGATATTTCACTCATCATAATGTCCTCCATTTTGTATAATATTTCATGAGTTCTTTGTTTTTCAAAGCTGCATACTATTCAATTTTGTGACTATACAACACCTTCTCTATCTATTCATTTGTTGGGGGGTCCCTTCTCAATTTTAAACCATGCAGTGTTCCTCTGTAGCCTCCTAGTCCAGGTATAGGTTCCTCGAGAGCACAATTAAGTGCTCTGGAATTTCCATTCCTCTAAATGTCAGTTACAACTTGTTATGATCCACATAGTCAAGTGCCTTTGCATAGTCAATGAAGCACAAACAGACGTTCTTCTGGTAGCCCTTACTTTCAGCTAGGATCCATCTGACATCAGCAATTATATCCCTGGTGCCAGGGCCTCTTCTAAATCCGGCTTAAACTTCTGGCACATCCCTATCTATGTACTGTTCTAGCTGCTTTTGAAAGCTCTTCAGCAGTATTTTGCTTGCATGTTATATTATTAATGATATTGTTCAATAGTTTCTACATTCAGTTGAATCACCTTTCTTGAGAATGGGAAAAAATATGGACCTCTTCCCATCCATTGGCCAGACAGCTGACCTCCAAATATCCTGGCTACATGTTAGGACGGGGTTCAAATCTGTTGTTCAGTTCACAGGGTAACAATAGGATATACTCAGATGGATGACACCTAACAACAACAATGCCACCAAACTGACGATCGATCTATCTATCTATCTAATCTATCTATCATCTATCTATCATCTATCTATCTATCTATCTATCTATCTATCTATCTATCTATCATGCAATCAAGATGCATAATAAGGCATGACTGGAATGCAAAAGTTGGGAACAGAGAAGAAGATTCAGTAGTTGGAAAACATGGACTTGGTGACAGAAATGAAGCTGGAGATACAATGATTGAATTTTCTACAATCGATGACTTATTCATTGCAAATACACTTTTCAAGAGACATAAATGCAGGTTATACACATGGATTTCACCTGATGGTATGTATGGGAATCGGATGGATTATATCTGCAGAAAGAACTGCTGGAAGAGCTCAATATCAGCTGTGAAAACTGGACCACGAGCCGATTGTGGAACAGACCACCAACTACTCACATGCAAGTTCAAGCTGAAACTTAGGAAAATTAAACCGAATCCACGGGAAGCAAAATATGACTTTGAGTCTATCCCCACCTGAATTTCAGAACCACCTTAGAAACAGTTTTGAGGCTTTGAACAATGATGAGCCAAGACCAGAAGAGTTGTGGGAGGTTATCAAGGGTATCATCCAGAAAGAGTGCAAATGGTCATTACAAAGACAGAGGAGGAAGAAAAGACCAAAATGTATGTCAGAAGAAACTCTGAATATTGCACTGGAGTGCAGAGAAGCCAAAGCACAAGGAAGAATTCAAGATACTAAAGAGCTGAACAGAAGATTTCAAAAGGCAGCACAGGAGGGCAAAGTAAAATATTACAATGAAATGTGCAAGAAGCTGGAGTCGGAAAATCAAAAGGGCCAAACTCGTTCAGCATTTCTTAAGCTCAAGGAACTGAAGAACAAATTCAAACCTCGAGTTCCTATAATCAAGGATGCTTTAGGAAGAATATTAAATGATCCAGGAAGTATTACAAGAAGATGGAAAGAACATACTGAGTCACTGTATAGAAAGGAATTGGTAGACACATAAGAATTTAATGAAACAACATATGAGCAAGAGCCTATGGTGATGAAGGAAGAAGTTCAGGCTACTTTGAAGGAAATAGCAAAAAATAAATCCCCAGGAATAGATGGTATACTAATTGACATATTTCAGCTAACTAATGCTGTCCTGGACGTGCTCATCAACTTGTGCCAAGAAATCTGGAGAACAACCACTTGGCCAACTGACTGGAAAAGATCTATATTTGTTCCCATTCCAAAGAAGGGTGACCCAATAGAGTGTGGAAACTATAGAACAATCTCATTGATTTCACATGCAAGCAAGATTCTACTGAAGATTATCCAAAGACAACTGGAACAGCACATCAGCAGAGAACTGCCAGAAGTCCAGACTGAATTTAGAAGGGGTTGTGGTACTAGGGATATTGTAGCTAATGTTAGATGGATCTTGGCTGAAAGCAGGGAATCCCAGAGGAATCTCTATCTGTGTTTCATTGATTATGCAAAGGCATTTGACTGTGTGGATCGTAACAAACTGTGGCTGACTCTGAGAAGAATGGGAATCCCAGAACACTTGATCGTGCTAATGTGAAACCTATACTTGGACCAAGAGGCAGTAGTCAGAACAGGGCGAAGAAACACTGCATGGTTCAAAACTGGAAAAGACATATACCAAGGATGTGTCTGCCTCCATACCTTTTCAACCTGTATGCACAACAGATTATCCAGGAGCCTGAGCTCTATGAGGAGAAATGTGGCATCAGGATTGGTGGAAGATCTATCAACGATCTGCATTACGCAGATGACACAACTCTGCTTGCTGAAACTGAGGAGGATCTAAAACGCTTGCTGCAGAGGGTCAGGGACTGCAGCCTTCAATATGGATTGAAGCTCAATGTCAAGAAGACAAAGATTCTCACCACTGGACCAATTGGCAGCATCAGGATGGATGGTAAAGAGACTGAAATCATTCAGCTTTAGTTTGCTTGGCTCCACAGTCAATACTCTTGGCACCAGCAGCCAGAAAATTAAAAGACGTATTGCCATGGGAAAGTCTGCTGTTAGGGACCTTTCCAAAATCATGAAGAGCAATGGTGTCTCTCTGGAGACTAAGGGGTGTCTGATACAGGCCATGGTCTTTGCAATCACTTGTTATGCATCAGAAAGTTGGACAATGACTAGGGAGGGTAGGAGGAGAATTGATGCCTTTGAACTATGTTGCTGGAGAAGAGTACTGAGTATACCGTGGATTGCTAAGAAAACAAACAGATTCATCCTAGAGAGGGTTAAACCGGGCTGTTCCTTGGAGGCAAGGATTCTGAGGTGTCGTCTGACATACTTTGGACATGTTGGAGACAAGGATTCTGAGGCTTCACCTGACATACTTTGGACATGTTGTAAGGAGGGACCAGTCCTTGGAGAGGGACATCATTCTTGGGAGGGTAGAGGGACAGCTCAGGAGGGGAAGGCCCTCTATGAGGTGGACTGATTCAGTGACTGGGGTAATGGGTCTGGTGTGCCGGAGAGTGTGACTGGCACAGGACAGAGCAGAGTTAAATTTGTGTCTTCTAGGCTGCAACAGTTCCATGATACATCTTCAAGGATATGAATATGTATGGCTAAGCACAACTGATAACAGTGTATCTAAATTCCAAAATCAATCTCCACAATAGTCTATGCGTTTTCTATTGCCAAAGGGGCTCTTTAGAGTAGTGAGAGAAGATCTTCACCCTGAAACCTACAGCGTCCCTTTTCAGCAGGAAGTAGATAAGAGACTACGACATCCCCTTTTCCTTATGAATCAGGGTGAAATCTCCCTCAGGGAGGAGTGATAGGGAATGGCAAAGGAGACACTGACAAAGGAGATTAATCAGAAAGGGTTTTGACAACTGGTTGTGGCAATGGGACAATTAAAACAGACTTTCAAGGAATATTCAACCTGAATCCTGACCGTATGGAGATTTTTGCAAGTATTTCTTTGAGTTTGTTATGTTTGTTTGTGTATAAAAGATGCTGATCTAGATGATAACATAATTATGATAAAAACAAAAAGGGGAAAATATGGGAAGTCAATACTAAGTATTGTAATAAACTGCTATTTTAAAAAAATAAATAAAATGACAAAAAAAAAAACAAAAAAAGAGCTGACACTGACTCAAGGGCAGGGGTCACTATATAGACCTGTTTACATACATAATGAAAAGAATTTTTTCTCTTCTTACTAATATATTTAAGTATCAAGTTGGATTTAACCTTTATGGTGTTCTAAAATTAAAATGTCAGCAAAAAAACTTGTTTGTAGAGTGACTAATATACACTGTTGTTGTTATGTGCCGTCGAGTCGCTTGCGACTCATAGCGACCCTATGTACAACAGCCCTAAACTCTGCTTTGTCCTGTGCCAATCACACTGTCTCTGACACTCCCATCCCAATTATCCCAGTCACTGAATCAATCCACCTCATATAGGGGGTTTTCTTCTCCTGCGCTGTCCCTCCACCCTCCCAAGCATGATGTCCCTCTCCAAGGACCGGTCTCTCCTCACAACATGTCCAAAGTATGTTGGATGGAGCCTCAGAATCCTTGCCTCCAAGGAGCCACCCGGTTTAACCCTTTCCAGGACAAATCTGTTTGGTTTTGGACATTCTCATTTTTTAACATTTTATAACCCAAAAGTTTACTATAGAGAGCTATGGTGGCCTAGTGGTAAGAAATTGCATAGGCAACCCAAAAGCACATTGTTCAAACCCATTAGGTGCTCCAGCAGAGAAAGATGGGCAATCTTCCCCCACGCAGTTTACTGCCTCTGAAAATCCACTGTTAGCTATGAATCCATTCCACTTTGAGGGTATACAAGAACAACAGGGTTTAGTACATGGTGATCTTAAACTCACCTCTCTGAAGATAAAGAGATTAAGCAAGACCATGCCAAAATTATAGAGAATGAGAACCAAGCGCATCTGAAAAGGTTCTCGGTTCTTCATCCACTTCGGCCCCAGCCACACGAACAGAAGGTACAGAGTACTGATACTCAGTGTGGGCCAAGGGGACTGCATCAAAGGCCAGTTTTCTACACGTTTATCTACAAAGACAAAATAATATGGAATTTAATTATAAAGTAAATGGTCTGTAAGATTAATTTTAACACTAGAACTTGGTTTTCTAGTTTACTAAATACAGATCACATTGCTATTCTTTGAGTCTTAACAAAAATATGGTCTTTTTAAAAAAAAAATCTAAGAAATAGGAGTGATTCCTATCAGCAGTTTGAAAATTACATTTCATTACATATGTGACATAGAAGCACCTAAAAAAGAACTTAGAAATCTGGCACATGTAAAGACCACTAAAGATAGAGAAGATAAGCTGGGGATGAAAAGTTAACGAAAGATTTCATACACAGAAAAACAAGTATCTCAAGGAGAAAATTCTGTGTCCATACATGAGGCAGAACAGAACCATGCAGGAGACTGAAGATATGTGAGCCCAATGCATGTCACTGACTCGCTCTGGTAGCGAAGAAATACAATTTATTTAGAAAGATTAAGTTAGAGAACATTACAATTCTTTATTTAAATGATAATCACTGAACTCAAGATATTTTTCTAGAGAACATAAAGCTATTTGTTATTAGCTTATGAATAACCCATTTTTGTGCTTTTTCTCGAAAGCTAAAAAAAAACCCTCATTTTTTATGTATAAATATGTATAAAATACAACAAATTATATAAGTTAAAAAGAATTGACTAACCTTAATATTCAAATATGCAACTATGATTCAATTTTATAACAGAGTATTATAAGTAGAACAATTCTAGGTGAAACATTTTTTAAATGGGATTAGCAAAGATTAAATTTTAACACATTAAAAAGGTTTTTGTATTAATTTTGTAATTCTAAATAAATTATAAAATTAATAAATTATAAAATGAATAAATAAAAAAGTATTAGGTTCTGAACAGAATACTTTATTTACTCTTAGCTAGGCAAAACATTTATGTATTCTATTTTAAGGAAAAATAATATATTTTTAAGATATATTTTAAAAAAATCTTCATATATACACACACATACACATACAATACACTCCTTAGCCAGCTTCTATAAACTAGCCTAAATGAATGTAATTGCAGATCATACCTGCCCTGTTTAAATTGTCATATTTACTAAAACTATATATACAAAAAAGTTGTGAATTATATAACTGTTTTAAAACATCTTACTTTTAAAAAAATTAATCTATTTCTATCAATTAAAAAATTCAACACAAGAAGAGCTTTTAAACCCACAGCTTCCAAAGCTAGGTAATAACGTAATTACTACAGTTTCTATGAGGTTAAGAGCTGCTAGAAAAATGGAAGTGACTCAAAGAAAAAAAATACAAGTAAGTACAAGAAAAACTTAATTTCATTTCATATTTTACAAAAGAAATTTACAATCTACTTGTGAAAATATTGCTAGATTTCATAAAGATTTAAAAATAGTAAGTCACTCACAAGGAAGATGTATGATAGTGTTGACATTTTTAATAAAAGCATGAATACATTGTTAATTATCATTTACTGTTGCTTTTTAGAAAAAATGTTTCCTTTTACTTCTTCCAGAACTAGAGGATAGCATCAACGTTTCTCACAAAAAACATGGATATTCTTCTACTTAGATCTTTACTTTTTATATTCTAGAAAAAGGAAAACTCCGTGGAGCCCAAAGTGCTATTCATCAGCTAAGAATCTACTATGGTATCCTATTCTTATCCACAAACTACAGGGCACATACATTCTTTCCGTAAGTTTGATTCAAAAAGCAAATACTTTGATAGTGGGAAAAATCCTATAAAACAACAAATGGAAGATAAATATGTAAGGAGAGTCTAATTTCCAACATCATGGATTTCTCACCTTTACCACATACAGAATTTCTACTGACTTCAAAGAAACTTCTGAGCAGCAGTGGGGAAAAATATTAGAGAGATGTATGTGTAAAAATTTAACAGAGTTCATTCTCTTTGATATGTAGTTTGGTAACCAGTACCATTCTCTCTTGCATCAAAATTACTTAAGAGATTGGACTACCAAGAAAGATAAAAAGAAACACAGGAAACTGAAGGTCTTTCATTATGAACCACTAATAGAGGCTACTAAGGATCTAAAAATGTGGAAGGAACCAGATAAGGAAGGCAAAAGGCTAAGAGAAAACACGTTAAAGACTGTTACTAAGCCCACTGGCCATGTTCCAATGGCAGCTCCAGCACTGTGTGTGTGTAGGTCCTTGAGGACAGTCTCCTTCCCCTTCCTTCATTTATAAAATCGTAGAGGGAAAAACCAAATTAGATTTTGTGCTTCTACAACTGAAATGCCCAAAAAGAATCAGCTGGAGAGAGAATGAAAATGTTAGGAATAACACATTTCTGGGAAGATGCTGCATTTCTAGGAAGGTTCAACTGAGGCTATGTACGAGCAGTAAGAAATGAGATGATCCCTTATGGCTTGATTTATTAAAAAACAAAACAAAAAGAATAAAAACAAACCCAAAATACAACTTATGAAATTTTAAAAACAACATTGGAAAAGAGTTAGGAAGACTAAAAAAGTAATTTTATCTGATTATATTCATCCTGGCGAGGGTTAAACCAAGCTGCTTTTTGGAGGCAAGAATTCTGAAGCTTTATCTGACATATTTTGGACATGTTGCAAGGCAGGACCAGTCCTTGGAGAAGGACGTTATACTTGGGAGGGTGGAGAAACAGCACAGGAGAGGAAGACCCATGATTAGATGGATTGATTCTGTGACTGGGTTAATGGGGGTAGGTGTGTCAGAGACCGTGAGATTGGCACAGGATAGAACAGGGTTTAGGACTGTTGTACTCAGGGTTGCTATGAGTTACAGGCAACTCGACAGCAAATAACAACAACAACAACATACGAGTACCTGCCATATTGAATTTAGCACTCAGCACAATGCCTGGTGACCTTTCTTTAAACTGTAGATGGGGCTGGATCTTTAACTTTTGCACTGCAAGGGACAACAAAGCACCTGAACATTTTTTTGATAGATAAATGTCAAGTGGATATTTTTCCTATCAGTCCTTTACACTCTATTCCTTCAGCCAAATACAAGCGTGATCCTTCCTTACAGCTTTGCCTGAATTTTCTTCTTAATGTTGGCACAGAACTTGAACTTCAAGTCAACAGCACTTTAATGCAGGAGCTAATGAGTACATTCGTGGATGCTCTGAGGCCCACTGTCCTGTACAATACCACATTTCTTTGACTCAAAACTGAAGCCACAGGATCATTCAGCCACATTTAACAAATCTTTATGTTTTCACCATGCAAAAATTAACATTTCATGCCGTCCTTTCTCAAATTAGTTCTCCAGAATTCACAAGAGTCAAAGAGCTCTCAGAAATTCCATCTTCTAAACAAATTATAATCCACTGCCATCAAGCTGATCCAGACTCACAGCCACCTTCCACTGGCTTTCTAAGGAGCCCTGGTGGTGTAATATATAAAGTATCAGACTGCTAAACGAAAGATCAGCTGCTGGAAAGATGAGCCGTTTCCTCTGGTAGAGACTTACAGCCTCACAAACCCAATGGAGGGTCACCAGAAGTTGTCAGTGGCAGCAGGTACACTAATCATGGAATTTTAAGTAGCCACCAGCATGTGAACTACAGAGCAGTAACTCCTGTAATATCTATACAAAACCTCTCCATGTTTTTGTGGTTATTTTTCTCTTTTTATATCTATTTGCATTAATATAACCTTCAACACTATGACAAGAGTCAAATATATAATCCTTTTACATATTTCTTCTTTGACGTCCAGTATGTCATACATACTGACATGCAATAAGAAAAATCACCATTATTGAGAGCCCCCCCCCAAATCTTGAGCCAAAAATACAGAAGAATTAGTGTATTGTTGTTATATTCAATTGGTCAGAACCAACTCATAGCTGACCCTCCAGTGAGGTTTTCTGGTATACAAATACAATGAAGACTGTCCATTTTTCTCCTGGGGAGTAGCTGGTGCATTTGAACCATGTCTTTACATTGGCAGTGCAATTCCTGATCACTTGGTAGCATAAAGGGAAATCACGAGTATTGAAGATTCATATGTTTCACGCTTTGTTATATTCTGTCGAGTCACTTGTGACTCATAGTGACCCTATGCACAATAGGTCTGAGCCCTGCTCTACCCTGTGCCAACCAACCTTACTGCCTCTGACACATCTACCTCCAATACCTCAGTCCCTGAGTTAATCTACCCCATCCTGGGTCTTCCTTTCTTGTGCTCTCTACCCTTCCAAGCATGAAGTCCACCTCCAAGGACTGATCCTTACAATAATATTGCCCAAAGTATATCAGATGGAGCTTCAGAATCCTTGTCTTCAAGGATATACCTCAAAGGAAGAGCATTTGACTGCAAGATCCTTGCTTCCAAGGAGCAGTCTGGTTTCACCCTATATATTATATTACAGGTCTGCTTGTTCTCCTAACAGTCCATGGTATATTCAACACTCTTCTCCAGCACCACAACTCAACGGCATCAATTTTCCTTCTATCGTCCTTACTCATTGTCCAGCTTTCTGATGCATATCAAGTAACTATGAAGATCATGGCCTAGATTAGGTGCACATAGTCTCCAGACAGACATCATTGCTCTTCAGTATTCTGGAAAGATCCCTGACAGCAGATTTCCCCAAGGTAATTTGTCTTTTTATTTCCTGGCTGCTGGTACCAAGAGTATTGATTGTCGAGCCGAGCAAACTGAAGTGTTAATAATCTCCAGCTCTTCATCATCCACCATGATGATGCCCATCTGCCTAGTGAATCTTTTCCTTAATGTTGAGTTTCAATCCATACTGAAGGCTGCAGTCTTTGACCTTCTACAGCAAATGCCTCAGGTCCTACTCAGGTTCAGAAAGCAGGGTTGTGTCATCTATGTAACACAGGTTGTTGATGAGTCTTCCTCTGATCCAATGCCACATTTCTCCTCATATCGCCCAACCTCTCAGATGATCTGTTCTGCACATAGATTGAAAAGGTATGCAGATAGAATGCATCCCTGGCGTACACCT